CATGGTGAAGACCCTGGGTTCACACTTTAAGAATTTTAGAAACCACAACTACCTGTATCTGTTTAAGGATTTAAAAAGAGAAAATAAAAAACCTAGAACTGCAAAAACAAACAAACAAACATACAAAAAAAACCCCGCAAGCTTGCAGTCAAAGCTGCCAGCCAGATGTTATTCAGTTTAGAAAGTGTTCTTAGAATCATATGCTCATGCAGCCCCAGCCAGTGAGCTCTCAGGTGTCCCTTTGTGAATGAAGCAAGTCCTGACACCTTGGTGCCAGAGCTAGTTACTGAAACCCTGGAAAATCTCCTGAGTCCACCCAGAACAGTTAGGCAAACACCAAAGTTACACAGCTCCCACACAGCAAATAGGCAGACTTTAGAATTCTAGGATCTAAAGTATTCAAAAACAAGAGATGTCACTAGGTAAGTTCTGGTGGACACAGGATACTTAAATGTAGGCTGATCTATTAGATGGGATACAGGATATTTGAATGTAGGCCGATCTATTTATTAGCAATGAGTTTGGAGACAGGTGGTCCCAGCTCAACAATCAAGGACCCAGGCCTTTCCATTCTTCCTCTCTGCAACCTTTATCTTATTTATTAGTTTTCTTTCTCGAATCTGTAGTCTTATGTCCCCAGTATGGCTGCTGTAGCTCCAAGTATCACATCCTTACCAATAAAATCTTCCAAAGCAGGAAGGGAGAAGAGCAGCTTCTCACAGAACTCTTTCTTTTATGAGGTAGAAGAAAATCTTTACCAGAGACACCCCCTCCCCCAGCAGACTTAACTTCCTGTTAGCTAGAACAGGGTTGCATGTCCATCCTGAGATCAGTGAGGGGATCAAGATTGTCCAGATCAGTGTCCATCATGACTTGATTTCTGGGGCTGGTGATCTGCAGCCGGGGATGTTTGATCCGGTGGCCTCACTGTACCTTTCTAGTCTGCAGACAATAACATCCACCCCTTCCCCAAATATTACTGTATCCCATTTCTTCTTTTGCAACATTTTCTCTCTCCTGGCTCCATCCTTCCATGGGAGGCAAATGCTTGCATTTCCCCACTTCTACCAGTGCCCATCAGCTTCTACCCTTCTATCCATTCTCTGTCTGGAATGTGATCTCAGCATCCCTCTCCTGAGTCCAAGCCTCCACCGCCGTAACCTTTGCTCTGTCTCCTATAGATGCTTGCTCAGAACTGGCCTCAAAGGGAAGTCAGCAGGCTTCCCACAGATTTTTAAAAGTTTTAGACACCACAACTACCTGTATCTCTTTGGGGCTGGTCCCCCACCCCCACCCCGAGGAATCATGTTGTCAGACACAAGAAGGTCAAAAGTTGAGCACTTTCTATTTCTTTCTTGTTCCCCCACCCCAGACTCTTATTTCCCACTTCTAATTCTGCTCTCCTGGAATCTGTGGCCTGACTCTTCTCCCAGGCACCTTTCTACTTCTACTGATGCTCTGCTTCCTCCATTTGGATGATTCTCACTCTCTTCCATCTGTTTTCTGCCTCCCTTCCACCTTCATCAGCCGGGACTCTGACATGTTTTTGTTCCTCCCCGGGATCCAGCTGAAGAAGATCCATCTCTTCTGTCCTGTGTCACAGCTTCCCTATGCCACAGGGAACAGGCACAGCCTGAGAGGCCACTTGGTTCATTCTCCAAAGGCTCTGGTCATGGTGACACATTCAACTCAGGGAAAGGCATCAAGTTAGCCATCTCCCCAGTAGCTCCTTCCTGCTCCACTACCACCTCTCCCCTCCTCTGGGTTTGTGAGGCCTCTTTCTTTACTCTCTGCCCTCAGTGAGGATGGCCTGAGACCTCTTTACAGCTTCTCAATGACTTCTGGGGTAGCTTTCCTGGGGATTTAAATGCCCCATCCCCTGTAAGCTGAGACAGAGATGAATGTCACCCACCACACCCCCCTTCTTTCTGGCTTGCTCTGCCTTAGGTTTTGGTGAAACCTATTATCTTCTGGGCCAGCTCCTCTTGTAAACCTTTAAAAGCACACTTAGTTAATCAAGTGTACACTTGACCAAATTTCCACAGAATTAACTAAATTTGCATGTAGTTAACTGAATGTATATTGCCAATAAACCTTGTCTTCCAGAATCTTCATTCTCGAAATTCACAGGCGGTCAACAACTTAGCTGACCAAGGAAAACAGAATCTCACATTCCTGCCTAGAGGGTCCAAGACTCTTTGATTCAGAGATCCAGCCTGATTTTCAACCCACCACAGCTCTGGATCAGGACTTTTCACACACACAATTCTACCTTCATCCTTATTTTATATCTTTCAGAGAAATAGGACCCTGCGCTGGCATCTCAGCCGAGGCCCAAGGTTGACCTCTTTTACCCACATGCGTGGTTTGCTTTGAGCCAAGCAAACACTGCCTCATTTACATCTCACTCCGCCCTGCCTCCAACTCCTGGCTCCTTCTCCTGGAGTGTGGACTAAGGTAGTAAAACTACCTCGGCTGGGCTCCAGCTGCACAAGACAGGCTCCATCACTATATCCAATGGGACCATTTCTCTACCGAGGCATTCTCAGATTCTCAGCAGGAGAAAATTGTCCCCAAAAGGTAAAAATGCATGTTGAGGAAGCAAAACAAGCAAAACCAAAACCAAAACTAAAAAAACACACAAAAACCCAAAAATCTTACAGTGGTATGTGTCCTTCCAAAGGACCACACACGTAGATACACAATATGTTTGTTCCACTGAAATTTCATGAGCCAGGAAAGAAAGGTGCTGTGTAAGAAAAGTAAAACATATCCAGAAACTCTCCCTAATAGTACAACAATGCACAACGTTTGAGAAATATTAATTATTATCAACATTAATAATTAGTTGTCTGTGGTAAGTCAGGTGCCCAATTGCTGGTTCTCTTTTGCAGCTACAGTGTGGGTCCTTCTGGTCTCTGTCTTGGGGGACCCAATCTGGTTTGACCCTTTCCAGAATCCCCAGGACTTCCACCCTTGCTCCGATCCCCCCACCCATGGGAGACCCTCACATGGGAGAGGAGAGGGGTGATGCTCCAGCATCCACACACACACTCCCGCCACCACCCCTCTGCTATTCTCCTCTCCCTGCTCACAGGGCACCAGGCAGAAGCCCTGCGATCCATGCTGTATTCCAAGAGTCATTTTCACTTGGCTTTAGGGGGGACATGGAAAATAACTACTCACTCCCCTCACCACCACCCAGATGTCTGTTCCAAACGCTGATGACTTCCGCCTTCCCCACGCCCCTAGTCTTTTGCTGATCCACACCGGGAGAGGGTGATGCCGGGCATGGTTGGGGACAGCAGAGCAGGTTAAGTGCCTCTAATTCTTTACTATAAGCTCTGGAGGTACAGTAACACTCCTATTCTTCATGGCTTTCTTTAAAATGTGACATGTCAACTCCTCCTTCTCAGCTTTGGGTCAGCTTTAGGACCCATTCTGGAATCTCCGGAGTCCACAGTGCCTGTTTCCTTTCAGAGCAATGTAAACCCAGGTTTGCATCAACTTCTTAGCAGCCACTGTGGCGAATCTCTTGGGCAGGACTGATGAGCAGTGAAAGGAATAGCTCATGCCTCCATCTCTACAGAGACATCTCTTTCCATTGGAAACCTGGTCCCCTACCCACAGCCAGCCTCCCTCTCCCAGGAAGAACTCACTTAGCAATCTTAGTATTAAAATCCCTGAAGTTCCAACCCCAGCCATCTACACTTAGTAGGTTCTCAATAAAAGCTCTTTGCAGTAAGGCTGTCCAAGTGCAAACAGATACCGACACTACTGTGGTTGCCTTTATGAGAAGAGGGCACGCTGACCAGCTGTCTCCTCAGTGGAAAATGAAAACTTAATGACATTTCCGTGAAAATAACCCATAAGAACATCCATCTGTTTTTATACTACCTGAAGTCAACCGTGCTAATGACTTTAATTAATCTGTTTTTTCAAGAGGATTTTTTTCCTGGGAAGAGGATGTGCCAACACAGGTATTCGACCTGCCTTGCGTGGGTTCTGTTTCTCTTCCTGGCCTGTTTACATTTGTCCTGGTCACAATGCATCCCCTGACTTTGGAAGGTTGACTGAACCAGGTCATTGTCGAGGATGTGTAGCCGAAGTGGGACCCCAGAGAGGGTTGGGAACTCCCGAGTTTTGGAGTCAACTAAGTCTAGCTTCTAGTGCTTCTTCAAACACCCACTAGTCCTGGGCTCTGAGGGAAGAGACTTTTCTCTCTGTGCCACCCCTCACCCAGACATGTCCAACTTGCGCTCTGCAGGTTGGACATGCTTATGTTGTGTTGGAATAAAATATATATGAAAATGTTGTTACTTATATACATTAATAAGATTATACTTTCCCTCTCTTTCTCTCTCTCTGTGCATGTGTATGTATTACTGGGGATTGAACCCAGAACCCAGGACCTTTGCACTGAGCTACATCCCCAGCCTTTTTTTTTTTTTAATTTGAGACAGGGTCTTGCTAAATTCCCCAGGCAGGGCTTGAACTTTCAATCCTCTTGCCTCAGCCTCTCAGAATGCAGGGATTACAGGTGTGTGCCACCACACCTGGCCTTTTTTTTTTTTTTTTTTGGTACTGGGGATCGAACTCAGGACCTTGCATTTTCGAGGCAGGCAGCAGAACCACTGAGCTAAATCCCTGGCCCTGGCCTCTATTTTTTTAATGCTGCCCAAGACAATTCTTATTCACTCAATGCAGCCCGGGCAACCAGGCGTGGCCAGCTGGTGGGCTGTGGGCTGGACACACCTGAGTGGTGATAATGACATTACCTACCATGTGGCCTCAGAGGCTGGAAGAAAATAGTGTCTGCCAACTACTCCTTAAGGCAGGTTAGCTATTGTTTTCATTTCAGATGCCAGACCTCTGGGTCTAGGCATCTTGCCGTTTAGCCCTTCTTCTTAGAGTCTCTTTGTTTATGTTTCCATGCCCCATAGCCACCATAAGAAGAAAAAAAGAGAAAGAATAAGGAAAACCCATTTTCTTTTGCTTGTCATTGAATTTATTTGGGTCATTTTTCTTCTGTCATGGTTCATAAGGATCCTTAAAGATCTGAATTAGTTGAGCAATGGAAACTTTCTGGAAAAGTCCACAGGAGGGAGGGCAGGTTTTGCTCGTCCCTGGAACCCTGCCCCCGGCCCCGACATCCAGATAGGAGCAGCTCTGAAGGCTGGATTCCTGCCCTTTCCTGTCCCAAGCCATGAACAGCTCTCTGTGTCCTGGGCACTGCCCTTAATGCCTCTCTTCCCCTTAGGAAAGCACGGAGCTGGCCCAGGACCCTGGAGGCTCATTTTCCTCCAGAGCAGCCTCTCAAGGGTGGGAGGATGGGAAGGGAGGTGGGATCTCAAGGGGTCAGCAGATCCCTAGGAAGTCTGGGTGGCTCCTTTGCCACTGAGCTGCATCGGGCCCCAGCCTGCTGCTGCAAGGTCTTGCTTGCCTTGAGTTAGGCTCTGTCCTGGAGACATACATTTGCTGCATCTTCCTACCCCAGAGGAGCTCAGTTTCAGCCAGGCCATAAGTCCACCTGTTCTGAATCCCTCCTTGAGTCCGCCCCTGATTTCTAGGTTGGACAGTCCTGAGACAGCCACTCTCCTCCGTCCTTGACCTTCAATTCCATGCTAATCTCCTGGCTGCTGGGGCTCCAGCCTCCAGTCAGCCTCCCCAACAGCTCGTGGAAGTCCACTTGGAACCTAGATGATGAGAAATAGTAGACCAGGGGATCAACACAGGAGTTCAGAGTGCTGAGGAGCAGCACATAACTCCTCCACGTCGGGCTCTTGCCCTGAATGTAGCCCAGTACATGTGACACGTTGTAGGGTCCAAAGCAGACAAGGAAGTTGAGCAGAGTGGCCACCACCAGCCCCACCACCCTCCTGCGTCGGCGCCTGCTGGAGCTTCTGCCGAGGATCCACACCAGGCGGCTGTAGCAGTAGCTGGTGATGAGCAGAGGCACCCCGAAAAGGACCACACTCATCTCCAACCGGACGGGCAGGAGAATGGCCAGCTGGTCGTCTCTGAATTCCAGGTAGCAGGTCCCGTTAGTGCCCTGGCTGTGGGTGGAGTTCCCCGAGAATTCGGTGACATAGACCACGCTGCAGTGAGCAGCCGCCAGGAACCAGCAGATGCCGCTGACCAGCCCAGCCTGAGCCAGCCTCGGCCGGGTCTTGTACCACAGAGGGTAGGCCACGCTCAGGAGGCGCTCGACACTCACAGCCGCCAGGAAGAGGGAGGTGAGATAGATGGTGGTGAAGAAGAGGAACCCGGAGATGGGGCAGAGGATGAAAGGCATGGGCCAGCGCATTCCGCTGGCCGCCTCCACCATGCGGAAGGGCAGGAAGAGCAGCAGCAGCAGGTCCGAGAGGGTCAGGTTGAGCAGGAGCACATCCACAGCCACTGGGCGGCGCTGCAGTTTACCCACGAAGATCACCAGGGCCATTAGGTTGAGGGGCAGCCCCACCAGGAAGGCGAATAGGTACACGGAGAAATAGAGCCAGTGGTTGCCGGGAAAGAAGAACTGGTCTGGGTTTGGCTCCATGGTCACTGCCACTGATGCAAGACAGAGATGGAGGTGGTAGTCTGGGTGGGGGTCTTCCTGTCCCTCTCCAGAGCATCTCACCCATCAGACAATGACCTTGTCACCAAGGCCACCCTGCACGTCCCCACCTGTTTTCCCCAGCAGAGTCAGCCTGCCTGCCTTCCTGGTCCTACCCTATCTCCTGTTTCCCCAAGCACAGAAAGTACCAAAGCTCTCCTCCCCCCAGCCCCTCGGCCCCATGCTCACCTGCTTATTGGAGAACCCAAGCGCTCTGCCGTGCAGCACCTTGCCGGCTTCTGCAGACCAAGTGGGTGAGCTATTTATTTGCAGAAATGATAAAGACCTGGCAGTGCCCATGACGTCACTCACTGTGGAACAACAGCACAAAAGATGCCTTGAGCTCTGTTACCAGGGCTGCGTCAGTATGCAAAAAGAAGAGCAAATTCCACAACTGTGTGCTTCGCTCCTCAGGCCACTCAGCTGGGATGCCCCAACTAGGCCCCAGCTGACTCCAACTTCTCCTCCCCTCTCTTCCACTTGAATTTTGTCTGTTTCTCTAGAATGGCACTTTTCCAGTTTGCCTTGTAAGGGCAGGAGGCGTGATGACAGAGGGCTGGGCTCTAGAGCTGGCTCTCTTTCCTGCTAACTTTGTGATTTGGGGCAAGTGACTTCAATTCTCTATGCCCCCCTTCCTCATCTATAGAAGAGGGATAGTTGTGGTAACAATCTCATAGACTAAGCTATTAATATGTGTCAAATGTTTAGAACAGCCTGGTACTGTCCCTGCTGTAGTCCCCGGTGTGGTGCTGGCTTGTCACTGGGGTGAAGATGATGATGATGGTGGGTCATGGTGGTGACAGTAGCAGCTACTTGAGTGTCATATGACCCTACCCCTTAGGGCACCACAGTTTTATGTCTCAAAGTCCTTTTATCTCACAATGGAGCAGTGACTTGCTCCAAGGTTCAAGCCCAAATTCTGACCGGCTTCAGAGATAATGTATTTGTTCACTCAAATACATACTGATTACAGTGCAATAGCGTTCAGCACACACTAGTGTTAGCAGAAAAAAGTCAGACAATACTGAGACGACGAGAAGCTCCCGACTCTGCCCTTCTCCCTCTGTGATGGCCAGAGGGGGCGTGGTTTGGTCGGCAGTTGTCACACGCTCTTCTCCTTACTTCCTTTCGCTTGCCTTGGGTCCCCCCCTACGTATGGACTGGAACAACTTGCCTCGGTGTCTTCCTAGGTTACTTTGTCACCACTCTCCCCCTGCTGCGAGAGGAGGTACAACTCAGCTGTGGCTGTGGTATCCTCCCTGGCAATGCACTCCTCCACGTGATGCTGCCTTCCCTAAAGAAGCAGTGGGAAACCACCCCAAGGTAGCAAAGATCTGGAAGGGATCCAGGCCTGTTATTAACATCCCTAACTTCCCCAAATCCCGGTAAGTTGTAGTTAAAACAACTAGCTCTCCTGAAGATTCCCAGGTTTTAGCTCTGCCATATTTTTCTGGAGACAATACCGACTGTCAATCAGCCAAATCTCCTGATGTCCCAGAGCTGCCTCCATAACAGCTGTGACCATCCTGGATGCCCCATACCTGCTCTGGGAGATGTCTGCTTTGGCTCTACCAGGTTTGAATTTGAATCAAGTAGTAGAGTTGAATTTGGACCAATCAGTAAGTTCCGATGAGAGAGCTTGAGTTTAGACCAGTTGGGACCAACTGCCAGGCTCAGATTTGGGGCAATCAAAGGCTGGAATTTAGACCCATCCACTGGGTTGAATTTGGACCAGTTATGGGGCTCCAGCTGCTATATAATCAGTGCTCCCCTTACACTTCTAAAGTTGGTCCAGGAGGACTTCCTCTTGCGCATTGATTCCTCTGTCCCGTTCAAATAAAGCATCACTCCAGTGAACCTACTTGTGGTTTATTTCTCAGATAGTGTGGTCTTGGGATTCTTATCCTGAGTAGGGAGCACAGAGTGGTTGCTATTAAAAGAGCTATAAACACTAAGGATGTTAGCTCTGAAGAGCTCCAGAGACCAGCAGCTGACAGAGAGCAGTAGAGGCAACTGACAAAGTTGACAGATGGCATCCAGTATTGGCATTTAGAATTAATTGGAGTCTACCAGCATCAAGGCTCCGAGCTGTAACACTAAGGGCTAAGAGCCATTGGTGCTCAAAGCCTGTGGCTGCCAGCAGAGCTGCACTTGGCTGATTCATGATTTCTACCTGAAGCAAAAGAACCCTCCACTGATTGGTGACAATACCAAGTGTTGGCAAGGACAGGGAGAAACTGGAGCTCTCGTTCATTGCTGTGAGAATGTACAACAGTACAGCTACTTTGGAAAGCAAATCGTCAGTTTCTTTAAAAGTCACCCATAAATTTACCACGAGGGCCTGTGATTTCATTACAGATATTTACTTGCAAGAAATGAAGACATGTGCACACAAAGACTTTCTCATAAATGTTCATAACATTATTAGTCACAGAAGCCAAAAAGTAGAAATATCACCATTAGCTAATGAATGGATAAACAAATGTGGCACATCCATACAATGATATTCTATTTGACAATAAAAAAAGATCGAACTACCTACACATGCTGCAGCACGGATGAACATTGTGCTAAATGAAACAAGCCAGACATAAAAGACTACATCTTATATGATTCCATTTATATGCGCTGTCTAGAAGAGGCAAATTTAGAGACAGAAAGTAGATTCGTTGTTAGCCTGGGGGCTGGGGACAGAAACAGAGATGAACTATAAATGAATGCAAGGTATCTTAGTGAGGTGGTGAAAGTTCTAAAACCTAGATTACGGTAATGGGTGCACGTATCAGTAAATTTACTAAAACTCATTGATTTGGGTAAAACTCAGCATGGGTGAATTTTATGATACGTATATCTCAATTAAGTTGTTCAAAGTATAGCTGAGAGCAAAAAATTTTTTGCTGTCATTACGGTTATATTGGGGTGGGGGTAGAGCAGAAGGGAGTGTAATAAAGCCATCGAAATCAAAGAGAATCAGAAAACATTGTAGGCAGAGGGACTGTAGGTGCACAGCTTGGCCTCCTAAAGGAACTGGCAGAAGGGTTAGGGTTTAAGGGGGGCAGAAGTAGTTGGGGTGGATCACACAGGACCTTCTAGGCCCCAAGAAGCTGATTCTCCCCTGAGTGGGAGGAAGCACAGGTAACTGGGAGCAGCATCCAGCACCCAGCAGGGGCTCCACAGTGATGGGAACAGGGTGATTCCTGCCACCCAGGCTGGCATTCAGGCTTTTACTAAAATTCCTGGGTATCACTGCTACGCAGGGACCAAGCTTTTTTCTAGCTTCCACAGGAAGTTTCTTAAGCTCTCTGGCCCATTTTCTTATTTATAAAACAAGGGTAGCAGAACTTTTGGTGGAGTGCTATTAGGAGCATTCCTTCCTTCCAAAACATTTAATGAACACCTACTATGTGCCAGCCTTTCTTCTAGATGTGGGGATCTACCATTGAATAAAACAAAAATCCTTATATATATTCAAGGACCCCCAAAATAATTTGTATAAACCAGTTGGTACACACACCAGCCACGTAGCTACACTTGTGCTCCTATATGTGGTGGCACTGTTGTCATTAGAGGAAAAAGTCTGGTTCCTAGCCTGGCCTCATCCAAGCAGATGCCCAGGTGCCTGTCTCCTTCATAACTTCTCTGCCCTCCCTCTCATGGGCTGGAGTGCTACCTTTCATCTTCCCCAAATGTACCACCAATCTAGGTGTTAACCAGCACCCTGAGTTTTCCAGATGTCCCCTGACCCTTGGGGATCCTGCTTGGAAGAATTATATCCCACTTCCAACCCTTTCTTGCTGTAGAGCCTGGGGGAAGTATCCAAATCTTATGAAATGAAGATAACATACCTGGCCCTGGGGCCATAGCTACCTTATGCAGGGCTTTTGGGCAAATGAGGTCAAGGCACCGCTTCCCAGGATGTTGCCCTGCTGTTGGAGGAATGGGTGGTGCCTTTGTTCAAATTAGAGTGAGATGCTCCTTCCCTTGAACAGAAGCAAGACAGCCCATGGCTGGACGAGCAAAACACAGGCTAGAATTTAATCAGTGTTACCCTCTTCTGCCTGGCATCTGCCCATCTGTACAGCAGTAACCTGGCTAAACCAAAGAGTTCTGTAAGCCAGGCACAGTGGTATGCATCTGTATGCACTGGTACTAGAGAGGCTGAGGCAGGAGGATTGCTTGAGTCCAGGAGTTTGACAGCAGCCTGGGTAACATCGTGAGACATTGACACTTAGAAAAACAAACAGGTGAGAGAGCACAGTGTGAAGATGAAATGAAACAGTACTCATTGTAAAGCACTCAGCATGGTACCTGTCACTTATTAAGGACTCTACATTGTTTGCAACTGTGATGGGCAGCAGCTTGTAGCCCTCCTCTAGGCAGCTTTTCTTGCCAGCTTCCTGTTTGTAGTTCAAATGCTGCCCCCTTGTGAGTTCAAAATGGTATGACAGCATCATTATCTTGCCTCCTGCCTCCGGAAGTTAGACTGTTCTTTAAGTGTATCAGCAGGTGGTGAAGCTCCAGATTAGAGGCTGGCGGAGGTAGACGTCTCTTCTCTGTCACGTGAGGCCTGCCTGTAGTCTGCCGGCAGACAGGCAGTCAGGACAGAGACTAGAGACGTACCTCACCCTGAGGCCAGCTCCTGGCGTTCACTCTCTCTCTGGAGCGAGGTGCTGCCACTCCAGGTTCAGCTCTTCCCACGAGTGGCCCTGGGCAAGGCTGCCTGCAGTTCTGGCAGAGGCCTGGAGAAGCAACTGGACTCTGCCTTCATGTCCCTTCCTCCCGGCAGGGGCTGCTACTTCCGGGATGGGCTTCCTTGCAATCTTCCAGCACATATTGTCCCCCGGCCAGAACCCGTTCCCAAGTAGCCTGTCACCAGCGGATTGAGTACCACACTCCAGGCACCTGTGATGAGCCCCAACTTCCTCCAGGAGCCTCCCATGCCGGGGTGCAGGAAGCCAGCCACATTGGAGAGATGGTAGGGTCCCAGGCACAGAAGTAATGTGAGCAGGGCCCCCCCAGCTACCCAGGCTGCCCTTAGCTTCCGCCTGTGGCTCAGGCCCGAGTGGGCCAGTGCCCGGAGGCAGCCCACGTAGCAGAAGGCCGTGATAATCAAGGGCACAAAGAAGAGCAGCAGAGAGAAACTGAGGCGGGCAGGACCGGCAGAACTGGGGTCCCAGGCCTCCAGGCAGACGGGAGAGCCGTTAACCGGTGTGTTGATGCCCAGGGAGGTGGTGCTATTGTGCAGCCAACCTCCCGGAGCCTCTAATAGGAGAACCAGCCCCAGGTGACAGAGGACCAGGACCCAGATGGCCACACACACCCCCCAGGAATAGCGTGGCCTCCGGAGGGCTTGGTAGCCCAGGGGGAAGGCAGCCCCCAGGTAGCGACCAGCACTCAGAGCAGCCAGGAAGCCACCACCTGCGTAGAGCGGTGCGAAGTGGGCCAAGGCAAAGACCGGGCAGAGAGCATCCGGGAGAGGCCAGGCCCCCCAGGCCAGCGCCTCCACCGCCTTCAGGGGCAGAGAGATGGCCAGTAGGAGGTCAGAGCAGCCCAGGTGGAGGGTGTAGACCAAGCTGGGGGTGAGATGCAGACGCGCATGCACCGCCGTGCCTCGGATGGCCAGCACGTTGAGCGGGAAGCCCAGAGCAAAGGCGGCCACGTAGAAGGCGAAGGAGAGCTGCGGAGGCAGGTCCATGGGGCTGGAAGCGGTGGCTACCACTGCTCCTGCGATCCCCTTGCTCCTTGTCCTCAGATCACCAGCCAGGGCAGGAGGAGCTCCTGCAATCCCACTCTGGCTTCCCCACAGCCCAGAGTGTCAGCAGCCAGCCGGCGAGACAAGTGAGGAAGCGGAGGCCCAAAGGAGGAGGTGTCGGGCTGGATCAGAAACGAGGACTTCTAGCCTTTGGTCCTGGGCTGTCTTGGCACCATGTGACCTCTTATGAGGAAAAGAGCAATTTTGGTGTAATGGGGAAAGACAGAATGCAGGTGTGCTGTCCCCGAAGAGGGACTGCCTCTCGATTCCTGAGACTGGGGAGAGAGGGAGAGAGAGTTCATTGCAGTGCTGGCAGATGGCATGTGAGCATGAGAGTTAGAGCCCTGAGTCTACTCCCTACCCCATTCCCTAGCGAGAGGAGCTGCTCCCCACAGTGTGGAGCATGAGTGGGACCCCTAGCTTGGAAGAGGAGAAGTCGAGGTTTGGATACAAGGTAAACCAGGCAGAGGGGTGGGCAAGGGGGGTCCCATGGAAGAGCCCAGGGGGAGCCAGGTCGCATCAGTGTCTGGGGAACAACCTTAGAAGATCTCAAAAGTCAGCCTGGGCTGGGAGACCTGGGGGTCTGGGGAATAGTTGGTGAAGAGAGGAGCCACAGAAAGAGGGACTCACCTCTTGGAGCTGTCAGATGTTTCTGAGGCTCAGGAGTCCCCTCACCCAGCTGTCAGAGGAGGCTCGGAATGGGCAGTGAGCTGGAAGGGAGAGAAGGGCGGGGTGGCAGGGCCATTAGCTGAGGCACTAGCAGCTTGGGTGAGCAGGTAATGGGGCATCCCAGGCGGGAACTGAGGCTATGCTGCAGGATGTGGGGGATCCAAGAAGACACTGGGACACAGTAGGGGATGCGGGTGGGAATGGGGGTTTGGTCTGGTCGGGTGAGGTCTATACAGCCAGTGCCTTGAAGGGTTTATGAGGTGCAGCCAGAGCACAGCTCTGTGCCCTTCCCACTCACCCACTGCCTGCTCAGTCCTGCCCTGGGAGCCAAGGCTTCCCTACTTCTGGGTGAAAGCATAGGCAGACCCCAGCCTTGGCTCACACTTGGACAACAAAGTTCTTCTGCTATTTTTGCCACCCAATCCATTGTCATGTGGTAATGAAAAAGTGAGTTAATGATAGAAGCATCCCAACAGACAGCTTGCACAGGCTGCAGGCACCCTTTTTCCAAGAGAGGGCTCTTCTCTTCTCCCTTTCCTTTCCCTTCTGGTTTTGTGGCAGTGGTTTCTAACCTTTGCAGTGCTGGCAGAAGGCGGGAGAAGGAAGGGAAAGGGATAAGCCAGAATCTTGTGGTTGGCTCTAGAGCGATCAGCCTGTGGTCCCAGCTCAGCCTCTCTCTGAGGGCCAGGGAGGTCTAAGCTCATTGCTTCCTGGGGCTTTGGGGTGGGGACCTTGGAGTGTGCTCTGTGGAGACAGGCAATGCCTCCAGTGGGGTGCTTAGCTTGTTTCTCTCAGCGCTGGGAATCCAGCTGGCCATTTGTCTCTCATGGAGGGGTCATCTTATTTTTCTAGGAAGACCTCCTAAGCAAAATTTAAAACCGTCCTGAACCGCCTCCCCCTACCCTTTCTGTCTCTCAAATGTGGGCCATGAAAGTTCTGTCTCCAAGATTCTGTCTCTATCTCTAACTGTGCCTATATCTCCCAGACTCTGTCTCTGTCTCTTTGCCACCTCAAAGTGACATCACAGCGTTTCAGCTTCAGATTTCTTAGGGGCCTGTGTAGGTTCCCAGAGCACCCTGCCCCTCCCAAATTCCAAGTCACCCATAATCAGCTCCTCTCACCAGGATGCAGGGTATCAACATCTCCCTTCAAAGAAAGTATCAAACTTCCTCTTCAGACCTTGGAGTCATGAGACTGTCTTTTCTGAGGCCATGGTAGACTGTGAGCATAGAAGTACTTGATACTTGTTGAGTATTTTGTCTTTGGGAATACTGAGAAACTAACAGAACTTCGAAAAGGATCAGAGTGCCATGTTATCTCCCGTGACAAGGCTGGGAGAAGAGCAGAGCTCTAGGGAAACATCAGGTCTTCCAGATCTCTGCTTTGGCCCCCCCACGCCCCCACCCCCAGCAGTTCGGTCCCTGTCCAGTGTCACCTGCTCAGAGGGCCTTCGTGATTCCTCTATCTGCATCCATGCCTCCCTGCCCTATATTTGTCCTTCTGTTAATTCAAAGGTCCTGTGACTCTTTGACACTGTATTTGCCAGCTCCTCTGCTGGGATCTTGGCCTTAAGAGAAAGAGTGAAGATTTTGGTCTGAGTTGCCTGCTGCGCGGGGCACAGTAGTTGCTCTGGGCCCTGGAGGATGGTGAGATCTCTGGGGTGGAGGGACTGGGTGGAGGCTGCCTGTATTCAGGAGTCGGCGGGCTCCGAGCTTCCTGGCCACCTGCTCTGCACGCTTCAGCAATGTCTGTTGACAGCCACATCTCGGGGTCAATGGCTCATAAAGTTGGTTTATGTCACCAGCTGGGCTCAGGGACAGGATGGGAAGGCACCTGATGGTTGCCAGGAGCCTGAGCCAGGGCTTCCTTCAGCTCCTTCCAGGGGATCCTGTCCTAAGAAGATTTTGATACCCTAGACTACACTAGAGGCCTCCAAGCATGGTTCTGGGTCCCATCATTTTTGTACCCCAATAACGGGATTTTGAATTGGATGCATTAATTTGTGCTCGGTAAATGTCTGTCGTTATAAAAAGAGTGGATGGTTAAAGGACACTGGACTTCATTTTTAGGTAGAGAAAACCAAAACCTCTTTCTCTCATTCAAACACTTTTCAAAGTCCAATCTTCCTTCATCGATGTTAATGGTGCTCACAGGAACTCAAAGTAGGAACAAAGTGAATTGATGGTGAAATCAGTGGATCCTTCTGCCATAATTCCAAGAATTACCATTCTAGGATTGAGCAGAGATGGGAGGGGAGGGCAGGAAAGGAAGGTGGCATTTCTGGGGAACCTATGTGTGTTGGCCCGTATCGTGTGGTTGGTTACACATTCATCTCTGAGCAGAAGGGGCCTTAGCCCTTGGCTGGGCAGGTGAATGGGTGGAGAGAACTTAGCCTGAGCTGTGGAGTGGACTGGGGACACTCACCTGGATCATCTGATTCAGTAAATACAGCAGGAACTGGGTAGAGAGTGACAGTGAACGTCAGGACAACTATGAGGTTTCTCTGAGCAAGTGGCCTTTGGGAAGTTTTTTCAAAGCTGCGAGTGTGAAAGAGTTTGGTAGGTCCCCTTCTGAGAATAGCTATGAATAATAAATTGGCTTCCTTTTTTTATATGCTTCAAAAAATATAAGTAAGAGATAGGAATTGTGTTTTTAGGAACTTCTGGTTTCTGTATTAGACCTTTTGAAATGTGACTTCAACACATATAAGATCAGACCAAACTTCTATACTATCTCAAAAAAGAAAAGAGGGCTGGGGATGTAGTTCAGTATGAAGAACCTGAGTTCAAAAAGTACAAAACATCTTGAGATACCTACATGGTGGCATCTCCACTTTACAGATGCAGAAGCTAAGGCTCTGGCATGTTCTGACAGCAAAATCTGACAAAGATCCCACAACTGGTTAAGTACCAGATCCAAACTCATGCTGGTCCAGCTGCAAAGCTAGCCAACAAGACAATAGATCCTTCAACCTGCTGACTTGGTCACAAAATGAACATGACTCTCTTTCCTTCTCTTCAAGCCCCACAATGTCATCCCCATCTCCCTGCCCCCACTCTGACTCCACAGGTGGGAAAGAATTCACTCATTCTTGGAAGTGGCATCTGCGCCATTTTTATTGTGTGGCTCTTTGTCCGTTGTGTGTCCTCATCAGTATGTCTGCTCAGTCCCTGGGACCCTGAAGGCAGGGCCGCTGCTGCAGTGTCATCTTCTCCGTGGAAGCCTGGCTTGCTGGTAGACATGTTTCTTGAGAAGAAGCCAACTGGGGACAGTGCCTCTTTCTACCTCATCTCTGTCCTTCCTCAGGATTCCCCAAGGGGCAGAAACAGCATAAAATCAGTGAATGTAGGTGGAGGGGTCAAAAAGATAGGGGAGGGAAGAAGAAAAATTAGTGACATGTGGATCCCGGCAGGGACACAGCAAGCTGGGGCAGGGATTAGGAGAGGGTAGAGGGTGGCAGATGGCTGGGGCTGGGGCAGGGGGCACTGTACAGCAGAGGGTGGGTGTATAGGCGAGTTTCTGTGGGGGAAGGCAAGGAAAAAAGACAGGGACAAGCTTTTTGGAGAGTGGGGGTCACCAGTGCCGAGAAGGAAGTCTGACTCTGGGCCAGCGCAAGGTTCTCCAAATTTGGGCACGGGGTGGGGGGAGACGCCGTGCTGGGACTTGGCAGTGGCTGGGGACACTCCGGGAGTTTCATGTCTCCTGCAGCCCCAGGCATTTTCCCCACAGCTGGTTCCGGCATCAGTGCTTGAGAGTCACGTACTCCACATCTTCATGTGCCCAGGACTGCTCTCTAACTCCAAACTTCACCAGCTCCGAGTAATGGATTCCCTCATCTTCAGCAAGATCTGGTACCACATTCTCATAGTCACCCTGAGAAAGCCACCATGCAGTGAGCCTGACCTCACCTGGCCAAGCTCTCACCCTCAGCTTTCTGCCATTCTCTCCTTGACTCCACCTTGGGGGGACCAAAGCCCAAGCCAAGTCATCTTGTCCGGAAACTGGCAGCACTTGGCCCCTCTGGCTTGGAGGCATCTGCTCTCGCTCTGATTGCAGCTCTGCCTGAGCAACTGCCATGATTTAAATGTGTCCCCTAAATTTCAGGTGTTGGAAAATTAATCCCCAAATTCATCTGTTAATGGTATTTGGAGGTGGAACCCTTGGGAGGTGATTGGTTTAATGGGTTAACAATTAATGGGCTATGAAAAGAAGAGCTGGTTTATAAAGTTGAGCTCTCAGCTGGGCATGGTGGTGCACAGCTGTAATCCCAGCACGCTGGGAGGCTGAAGCATGAGGATCACAAGTTTGTGCAACTTAGCAATTTAGCAAGAACTTGTATCAAAAAAAAATTTTTTTAAAGGGCTGGAGATGCAGCTCAGTGCAAAGGCCTTGGGTCAATCCCCAGTACTAAAAATAAGTAAATAGATCTCCCCCTACCATTGCTCCATGCCTTGTGCTACCTCAGTACTCTGCAGAGTCTCCACCAGGAAGAAGTTCCTCACCAGATACAGCCCTTTAATCTTGGACTATGAGAACCATGAGCCAAAATAAACCTGTTCACTTTATAAATTACCCAGTCTCAGGTATTTAGTTACAGCCACTGATGACAGACTAAGACAGCAACCCTCTCTAAACGACACCCAGCCGAGTCACCATGGATGTCTACCCAAGCCCTTCTACACAGGGCTCCCAGCCTGCCCCAGCTCTGCCATCTTACCACACGACGTTTCTGCACCACCGAGTACGTGACTGCGTCATCACTGTTTGGGAGAGGTCGCTGCATTTCAGAGGTCCCTGCATCTCTGAGTGAGAGAGCAGATAAATGGCCACAAAGGGAACTTCTCCCCCAAAAACTTCCTTCTGCTGATTCCCTTAGGGCCCCAGGAGCACCCCAGCCTCCACCTCTCATGAGAAAACAACTCCCTGTCTGGAGCACCTAGGGTTCACAATAGGAGCTGATGAAGAAGGCCAAGGCTGACTCCAGACACACACACTCCTGACCGAGGAAACAGGTCCCCTTCCTGTGACCGTCACTTCCCCCAAGGGTTGTCATGGGGGTGGAATGGGTACAAGTGCCTGGCGGGTGGGACAGGAGCTTTCCTCTTCCACATCCCTCCCAGGGGGCACCTTCCCAGCACCCCAGTACCCAGTTCTTGGTGCGTCCGTCTCAGGAAAGCGTAAGGTAGCATAGCTGATGCTATCTTCTATCACAGGATTATAGCATCCCAGGGAGTGGGGGCCTTCCGAGAGGGGCGTCCTTCTAACCTGAGAGAGAGAGATGGGGTTGGTTTCTGACTCTTCTCCCCCCACCCCACTCCTGCCCCTGGCTTCTGACTCCCCAGATCTCCCCAGAGCACTTTTTGTCGCCCTTCTTCACCCAGGGCCCTCACAGGCTCCCCTGCATTTCTACCTTTTTATTCCGCACAAAGAAGCTCTGACTACTGGAATTGTCCTGAAGCCCCTGCCGGCTCTGTGCCCTCTTCCTGCTAAGAAACAAAGGCTCTGTGAGAATCGAGGGACTAGGAAGAGGAGCGTGCAGATTCTTCAGGCAGGAGGCTTGGGGCTGCACCCGGGGAGGGCGGGGAAGAGCTCACTGTTGCTGAAACTTCATTCCCCAGATGGCCAGGATGACGATGGCCAGGCAGGACCCGATCCCTATGGCCACTCGCCTGCCAATGGACTCTGGGCTGTCTGGTGGAGAAAAGAGAGAACATGTTCACTCTGCACTGTAGCATTAGCCTGGAACACGTGCTCCATGCTCCAGACCTCCAGCCTTGGTCTTGCTGGTCTTCCTCCCCAAGTGTGGGACAGTGATGCAGGGAAAGCAGTAGAAGTGGCTCCATGCTTGGGACACGGAGCTGCTACTTCCAGCCTCATACACAGGTACAATTGTAAGGGAAGTTTGACCAGACTAACAGAACTCTAGGCCTTGGACCCAGCAGTTCCAGGTGGGGATGGACCCTGCACCTGTCCTTGCAGAGATGTCCAAAGCTAAAGACCGAACCCTTCGGCCTTGAGGAGAGCACAGGGGAGATGGGAGGTACAGCACTCACTCGGGGCACACAGAGCAGCCCTGAGGAGGAGGCAGAGCTCTGGTATCTGAAAAGTGGAGCCCCAGGCACAGTGTTTTACACTGTGTCCAGTGCATCTCCCAATAGCACACGCAGGATCTTTCCTCTAGCCTCAGGTTTTGCAGGTGATGAATCTCTAGACTTAAAGCCATGGCTGCAGCTATTCATCTGAAAAATTACCATCATCTTTAGACAGCATATATGCACAGATACAGACTGGTCTCCAAGACTTCTTATTACATGTGAAAAAGAGAAGGCCAGGGCAGTGTGTGAACTTGTGAGCTGTGCTGCCATTTGTAAAATGAGGAAGGAAGCCTAGATGCAGATCTGTATATGTACATCGAGCGTGTGTGGGAAACCTATCCTTGTGCAGAGATCTGACAAGCTGCTCACAGGGAGGATACTGGAGATCTCAGGGTCAAGAGCCTGGCTTTCAGTTTACCTGTTTATGCTTTTAAAAAATTTAAGAATGTATTTGTATTATCCTGTATAAAAACTCTAAAAATATGGGCTGGGGATGTAGCTCAGTGGTGCCACGCCTGCCTAGCAAGCACAAGGTCCTGAGTTTGATCCCCAGTACCAGAAAAAAAACCTCTAAAAATAAAAAAGGAGCCGAGAGAGAGAGAGAGAAAGAGAGAGAGAGAGAGAGAGAGAGAGAGAGAGAGAGAGAGAAATTTGGGATGTCTGGAAAGTGGGTGTAGCCTGAGTGGAAACCCGACACATAGGAAGGAGACACTCAAGCAAAGGTATAGACAGAGAGAGAGAAAGGCTTGTGAGACAGGAAAAGGAGACCCCTCCACAGGTGTGGACAAGGCAGAGGGGAAGAAAGGGGGCATGGGGGCAGTGGTCTGGCAGAGCATCTTTGGGTGGAAGCTGCAGGATCAGCCAGGACAAGAAGGCATCTGAGAAGAAGGCATCTACTTACAGTAGACGGTGAGGGTGCTGGGGGGAGACGCCCCCATGCCTATCCTGTTGGACCCCTGGCACCAGTAGGAGCCCGAGTCTTTGATCTTCAGAGACTCCAGCCTCAGTGTCTGCCCATTGTACTGGAGGTCTTGATTATTCCAGTCAAACCAGGTGTAGTGTGACACCGGAGGGTTGGCGTCGCTCTCACAAGTCAGGGCTGCCTTCCTCCCCTCCATCACTCGGTCCCCTGGGGTGATGGACACACGCAGCCTCCGGGGTGCATCTGTAAGGGAGAACCAAGTCAGGGCCCAGGCAGCCGGTCTCCACTCCCGCCCTCCAGTTTCTGCCACTCACACAGCACTTGGAGCCTCCAGGTCTTTGATGTGGTCTGTCCTATGGAGTTATTGATTGAACAGCTATAATTTCCAGCATCTTCTGGGGATGTGGAGTTGAAAACCAGTTCTTGTCCTTCTTTCAGAAGACTTCTGTTTTTCTTCCAGAAGAAGTGAACTTCCTTGGGATGGCTTTGTGAGAAGTCACATCGGAGGATAACCTGGTGCCCCTCGAGAATCTCTGACTGGGGTCTCATCTTCAGGATCTTCACATCTCTGGGGGCATCTACAGAGCAGGGTCTGGGCTGAGGCCACCCCACTCTTTCCCTCCTGCTGACCCCAGCACTTCCTGTTCCCTTGTCCCTGAGGTCTGGCTCTTACCCATCAATTTTCTGTTGAAGATGGTGGGCCAAGCTCCTGACTCCTTGTCCTTTCAATCCCCAGATTCCCTTGGGGCCACCTCCCAGGTCCCCCACCCTGTCACTCACATTGGACATCCAGGCTGACAGGGGATGACTCTGAACACCAGTGGTTACAGGCTTTGCAGGTGATGGGTGGGGTGTCCCAGGCAACCTTGTGAACCCACAGCACTTCACCGGATGGCTTATTCCTAGAGCTTCCGGGGATCCAGGAATAACTGGTAACATCCGGGTTACTGGAGTTATATCTACAGAACAGCTTCACGCTGTCTCCTTCTCGAATCAGTGTGGAGTTCTGAATCACCACATTCACCTCCTTGGGGGGATCTGGGAGTGAAGCAGAGAGGCGAGTAAATGCTGCCAGCCGACATAACGGCTTTCCTTCCTGCTTCCTCTTCCCCCTCCCTTCCTCCCTGCAGTGCAAACTTTCTAATTGGCCCAAGGAGGACTCCTACTTCCCTCTTGCATCTTGAGGACAGAATGCTGCCCTGACCATCTGCCTGGCTGGTGTTTGAGAGAGTCTGATACATTGGTTAAGAGCACAGCTATCACCCAGGGCAGTGGTGCAGCTACTTGAGAGGCTGAGGCAGGAGAATTGCAAGTTCAAGGCTAGCCAAAGGAACTTAACAAGTTCCTGTCTCAAAGTAAAAAATTAAAAGGGCTAGGGATGTAGGTCAGTGGTAGAGCACTTGCCTAGCATGCATGAGGCTCTGGGTTCAATCCCCATTACTTGGGAGATTAAAAAAAAAAAAAGATAACAGCTCTGGAGCCAGACCCTGCTTCTTAAAGCTGTGAGATTATGACCTGCAGGCTTTTACTTATCTGTCAAATGAGATTCTAAGAAGGCTGAACCTCTTGGAATTCTCCCAAGGATGTGGTAAGATAATACCCTTAGAGCACAGTGTGGTGTGTAGAAAGCACTCAATAAACAATAAACACTGCTGCTGCTTCTCCTGCTGCTGTCATAAATCCCGCTGTGTATATATAAAGGATTTTGGGATCCCTGGCCACACATAATATTTCAGGGTCCAAGGATCAAACCTATAGATTCTCTTTGTCCTGGCCTCAACTCTGTAACAAAATCCAGGTCGGAGGTAGTGACGCACACCTGTAACCCCAGCACTATGGGAAGCTGAGGCAGGAAGATTGCAAGTTTGAGTCCAGCCTGGGCAACTTAGTCACTTAATGAGCCCTTGTCTCAAAATAAATTTTAAAGGGCACTAGGCCCCAGTACCAAAAAGAAAAAGAAAAAAGATTCACTGTGTTGAAGAGATCTGACAATGAAGATGTAATTTAACCCAATGAAGAGGTAATTTGACAATAAAGAGACATTTGACCCAGTTGTCCTTGAAACTCTCAAAATCTCTTCAGGGACTCAACTACTCCCTGGTGAACCCATGTCTCCATATTCCTCACAGAGACCTGGTATCTACATTCATTAATTCATTCATTCTTTCAACAAGCATCTACTGAGTGCCTTCTAGGGCTCAGGTATTAGGTTCTAGGCACTAGGAAAGCAACTATGAACAATAAAGCCCCGAGAAGCTTATATAACAGGAAGCCCTGGCTTCTGCTTGCTTTTTATTCCAGGACCCAAGAATCCCCTGGACCCTATCTGCCCTCCTCCATCCCTCATAGCTCTCTTCCTTCCCAGGAACCAGAGTCTCTGTGACTGCTCACACTGCACATCCAGCTCAGCACCCTGGCCACTTCGTCCACGGCCATATACATTTTCTGCTGAGCAGGAATAATTCCCAGCATCCTTAAGAAAGACCTTGGAGATACAGAGTTTCTCTTCTGTCTTTTCTGGGATTTCATTCCCATTGTGATGCCAAGTGTAATTCTTTGCAGGAGGATTGGCTGGTGATACACAAATCAGCTCTACTGATTTTCCCTCTTCAGCAGGTGATGGGTGGATCTGAACCATGGAAGGTTCTGGTGCATCTGGAAGAAGGGGCAGAGGCAAATGGGGCAGTAAGGACAGCACTCCAACCTGTCCAGCAGCCATGACAGCCCTTGCTGTCACCTCTCGGGCCCCGCTAACCTCCCCTACCAGGTCCTAGGAGGCTCACACAGCACTTTGAGGTTCACTTCTTTTGACTTCCCCAGCCCCAAGTCGTTGGATGCCTGACACTGATAAATCCCTGCCATTTCCTTGGTCACGTTGTGCAGAGTTAGTGTGGCCTGCTGCTGCTCTTTCATGAGGTTCTGATCCTTGAACCAGGATATAGTCTTGTATTCTGGGTTGCTGCTGGTGACCTGGCATGTCATGTTCACGAACTCCCCCTTCATTACGACGGCATCTCTGGGATTGACCTCGATCTTCAACTTCGGACGGTCTGGAGGAACAGAATGGCAGTTGGGGAGGGGACAGGGGATTCTCACGGGGCTGGAGGTGTCAAGAAGTGGCAGCACTCTTTCTGTCAAACCAGTGGCCTGCACATATGCGGTTCCCTTATCATCCTGGGGGACTGTCACAGCCTCTTCATTTGTCTCTCTGCTGCTCCCTTCAACATGTCCCCTACCTTCTGGTCTCTACCAGCAGCCAGCAGGATTCCTAACACTGTCCATCAGAACTTGTCACTCCCTGCTTGAAGCTACCCAACAGATTCCACACTAGGACTAAAATCTAAAGCCCTTCCTGGAGCTCAGGAGACCTAGTGCCCTACCTGTTCTACCTCCTCTCCTACCCCTCGGCCCTCAGAGGCAGTGAACTTCAACCTCTCTGGCCTTTGGCTCTATCGCAGACATACCAAGCCCCCTCCTCAAGCCTTAGTCCTTGCACTTTTTTTTTTTCAGTACTGGGGTTGAACCCAAGTCCTTCACGCTGAACTATATCCCTAGCCCTTTAAAAAAAATGTTTTTTAAATTTTGAGACAAGGGGCTGAAGATTTAGCTCAGTGGTTCTGCTACCTGCCTCGCAAGCACAAGGTCCTGAGTTTGATCTCCAGTACCAAAAAATAAAAAAATTTTAAAAGATAAATAAATTTTTTTTTTTGGTACGGGGAGAAATAAATTTTGAGACAAGGCTTCGCTAAGTTGCTAACTTACCCAGTCTGGCTTGAACTTGCAATCATCCTCAGCCTCCCAGACTGCTGGGATCACAGGTGTGTACTTCCTCTTTTCCCTCCCTGAAATGCTCTTCTTGTGCCCTAATCCTACCTTTCTTTTCTTTTTCTTTTTTTTGGTACTGGGGATCAAACTCGGGTCCTTGCGCTTGTGCAGCAGGCGGCAAAACCACTGAGCTAAATCCCTGGCCCCCTAATCCTACCTTTAATTGGCCTAAGCATTTGCCTTCTTCAGAAAAGTTTCCCTTCATCACCCCGTCCTCACCCTCCTGTATTTTTTGCTTAATATACATGCCACTGGCTATGATTATGTTCAGTATTGCTTTGTGAATCTTTTCGGAGTTTGTCTACCTCCCTGCAATGCTAGTTCCAAGACAAGACCTCAGCTCACTGCTATACCCTTCTCCCAGCTGGCAGCCACAATAAGGTCCGGTGCCTGGTAGATCCTCAGTAAACATTTATTGAATGAGAATGAATGAATGAATGAATGAGGTACAAAATAATAGTGTGAAAAATCTCCCCTCGAGGAGGAACAAAGAAACCCAACTGGATGATCTCCAAAGCGTGCTGCGGCTGAGGGAGACACTGCTTCACTCCGCTGGCCCAAAGCAGAGATGAAATGAATCTGTGTCCTCAACACCAGGGCTGACCAAGGGGACAGTGGGAGAGGTTGGGCTATTCCTGTTGGTGACCAACTGCAGGCTGATTATACACCCCTCTCTGGAGGCTCCTCTTACCCTTGATGGGGCCCAATGGTTGGCTGGGGAGAAGGTGACAAGGACAGAGTCCTTCCCAGGGGAACATCAGGGAGACTCACGCTTCACATCCAGCTGCACCATTTCCTTAGAGAGCACTGTGGAAGCATGCAGAACCTGGCAGCTCAGGTTCTTCCTGTGGTGAGTCCACTGTGGCTGGAACATGAGCTTGCTCTTGGTGAAGACATTCTCAGTAGAGAGGGAAGTGGAGGGGTCAATGGAAGGGGAAGTGGAGTTGAGCTCCTCCAGGGACCACTTCAATTGGATGTCGTACCCAAAGCAGGCAAAATTCAGAGAGCAGATGGCAGTGACAGGCTTGGACTCCTCTATTCTTGAAGGGAAGAGCTGGAGCTGAGGTGGAGGAGGAGTTTCTGCAAAAGAGCAGGGGTGATGCTGGGGACCTGGGAAGTTCGTACGCATGGACACACTAGCTGTTCACCCCCAGCTTTGGACATCTGCCTCGAAGAATCCCTGTAGCAATCCCTTGACAGCCCATCTACCTCCTTATCAGAAGAATATGCTCTGAAAGGCCTTGGTGGATACTAAGTATCCCTGTAAAACTGTACTTTATTTTCACTTCCTGTTGATTACTTTCTAAATAGTTTCAAGATCATTTTTCACACCACCCTTGAATCTGGCCCATTTAGTTCAACAGGCATTTCTTAGCTTTGATGACACACTTGTATCTGCTTAATGGTCTCAGTATTGGAGGCCCCCCACGCACAGCTTTCCTTTAGTAGGGTGGGCTGTGTGCTGTGCAGCTTGCTTTCCCAGGCCTGGACCACCCTGCAAACAGCAGGGACTAAGGCAACATCCGTCTCTCAAATACAAGACGGCTTAGCACAGATCACTGGAGAACCAGGCCATGGAGTAGAGTAACCACATTCTCTAGGGCAGAGAGATAAGGTCCCTGCCCCTATCTGATGGTTCATCTCCATGCCCTGGAGTCATCTAGCCTCCGAAGGGTTGACTAGAATCAGTCAACAATACTAACACATTGGGAGACTTCCTTTAAAATTCCAGGTCTCCGTCCTCTCTCAAAAAGATCTAGCAACCTGGAACCCAGACTCCAGACTGGGCAGGAGCTGAGGGACAAGGGGACATCCGAGGTGGACCAAATGCTCATGCCGCAGTTGACCATGGCCCCATCTTATGCTGCCTTTGTCACTTGCTGGTGTCCCCTGCCTGATCTCTGCCACTAATCAGTTTGTGACCCATCCCGGGAGTTGGGCATTTCCCACCTCCCTCCTTCCCGCTCTGCTGAGTCAGAGGCTCCCTTCCCAAGGCCTTACTGGAGACATTGAGGGATAGTTCAGCCATCCATTTGTCCTCTTTAGCCCCTTCATTCTCTCTCCATGTCACTCTCATCCCCAGCTTGCCACTGTCTTGGATGTACACAGGGTTGATGCTCAGGGTACAGTTATTTTCTGACTTTTGTACCCTTCCCTCCTTAGAAAAGAAGTCCTCTGTCTTCGTCTTCTTATACAGGACAGTCCCATTGAAGTCTCCGATGGCTTTGTCATACTCAGGATTGTGGTACAGTGTGAACTTATCCAGGAGCACTTTGCTCTGTCTGTTTTCGTATGTGCAGGGAATCCAGACGCAGGCTTTCTCCCAGGCATAGACAATTTTGGGGTGTTTAAATATCAAGCCTTTTGAGTCACAAAAAGCCAGGTCTGAAACCCATGACAATAATCAGAAAGTGTTATTGGGCGGGGGGGGGGGGCTTTTAAAGGAATAAGGAATCCTCTCTGAAGAGAGAGGGACAGATGGGATACACAGGAGGAGCAAGACATGAGAGACAGCACAACTCTCTCCGTTTGCACATGGCCTGCCCCCACCCACCGCACTCCTCTCCTCTGGCCCACATTTGTCCTCCTTCTCCAGTGCCCTCTAACACCCCAGAAGCCAGGTACCCAGCTGGCCACAGGCCTTACCCAGGAGCAGCAGGAGCCTGGGGCTGAGGAGATGCATGGCGTCCAGTCTGGCGGGAGTCTGAGCTGGAAAGAGTTTGTCTTTCAGCCATCTGGCTGCTTACTTCTTGTCCACTCATCAAGCTCTGGCTCCTTTCTCCTGATCCTGGGGGCCATGTCTGGGTGCATTGTGGGAATGTGGAATTTGGGATGCTTATGGAGCCTTTCCTGGGTCCGTGAACTTGTTCTTTAGGCCAAGTGCTTCCTTCCCCCCTCTTTCCTCCCTCCCTCTCTCTTCCTCCTATCCATTCATTCATCCACCTGTTCTTGTCTGAACTTCCTGCCCGGCCCTCAGACAGAGTAGCACCAGACCACTGCAGCTCAGATACCATGCACTGGGCAATGGGGATCTTTCCCAGGGGCCACTGGTGAAGGATTTCATAAAGAGCAGAGTCATAGTCAAACCTTGATTTTTAAAATGAGGTAAAAAGTCATTCTAAAACCAGTAATGACGTATTAAACCAGGAGAGCATTTAGAGGGAACTGGAAGGCCTTAGGTAGAGAATGTGGTCCAAGGGACCCATACATGTGCCCAGGGGTAGAAACTTCAATCAACACAGAAGAGACAAAGGTCTTGCCTTGTCTCGAGGTGGTGGCTGTCTCAGTTTAGCTAGCTATTGCCAATGGAAATGGGGTCTCAGCACTGTCTGACCTTCCACTGTTCTCAGTGAAAGAAGCCAGATTTTCGTGTGAACTGTCTTCCTTTACAAACAACACAAGCCAAGCATGATAGCTAGTGCACACCTATAATTGCACCACTCTGGGAGGTTGAAACTGAGTTTGAGCCCAGCCTGGGCAACTTGGCAACTTAGCTAGACTCTCGCTCAAAATAAAAAATAAAAAAGGACTTGGGATGTAGCTCAGTATAATGCCCTGGGTTCAATCCCCAGTACCAGGAAAAAAAACAAAACAACAGAACTTATTTGTGGGCTGAAGGCAGCCATGGGGCCACCAGTTTGCGAAAGATTCCCTCTCTCTCTCTCTCTCTCTCTCTCACTCTCTCTCTCCAACAAGCTCACCCTCCACCATCTTACACTTTTACAAAGAGTTGCATTTACATGGAGTTAAATTTAAGTCCCTATTTATATGGTTGTAACCTCTGTGCTGGCCCCCAGAGAGCTGGGGCAGGATGTGCCAACAGAGTGTGTCTCCGGTGTCAGCGTGGACCGGTGCTCCTTTCACCCACCTCAGCAGCATTTCCCACACAAGCACCGCATCAGTGACCCTCTCTGGCTGTTTATCTCCCCAGGTACCAGCTGTGGGAAAAGCTAAGCTGCTTGTGGAAAGCAGGAAGGGCCTCTGTTCCCAGTGCTAGGGACAGGCATGGTCTGGACATGGATTAGGGTGAGTGCGATGCAGCCAACTAAGATCCTCCCAGGCAAAGCTGTCCTCAGGTCTGCAGGCGCTGAGAATGTTTCACACAAAAAGTCATCAGTCACAGTTACTTGGGGAAAGCTGGGTTAAAAAGTTAAGCAAGATTCTTTGCCGCAGGACTTTTCAAACCTTTAAAAAGCTCTATGTCAGTGGTGGTGAACCTATGGTGGCCATGCAGCAGCAGGCTGATTGTGTCATTGAAAGCTCTAAAAGGTTCGCCATCACTGCTCTGTATGCATCATAAATCTCCAAACACGAGGTCTGGAGTGTAGTACACTGCCCTCCCTTCTTTGGCCATGAGATCTGTTTTCCCTTATCCGACAAAAGCTTTGCAGGGGTGTGGGATCAGATCTCTCAGGGTTTACACCAGGGCTATGACAAAGACTAACCACGGGTGCCAGACCCTTGTGCCACCAGCCATGTCATCACTGCCTGGCTCTAGCCAGAGAGGGCAATTCCAGGGCAGGACTGCAAGCCTCTGGAGCATAAGAAAAGGGAGGACTGGAGAACCATGCCTGGGAAGAGGAAAGCTGAGGAGGCAGGTGGGGGTGGAGCCATAATCATTAGGCACAGAGGCTCAGGACAAGGGCACACTGTCCAGACCTGTGGCCTGCCCAACACAGGCCTTTGGGGACCTGGGAGCCAGCTTCTTTGACCCCATCATTCCCTCCTAGGCATCCGGTGACCAACCTCATTCTCAGAAGACATCCCAAGCCCTGCAAGGGGGTTGTGCAAAGACAACAGTCAGTCTACAGCCTGCTGTGATGCAGGCAAGGGAGAGGAGGGTGGTCCCCGCTGCGCTCCCACCTCCAGGAACTGTGTCGGGCACACAGTAGCCTCTCCACGCTCACATGCTGAATACAAAAAAAGGAGAAAATCACTTTTTACCTGTTTCCTCGTGTCTTCCCTCCTCAGGGACCCTGGCAGTATCTGAGAGTGAAAGGAGAAGTACAGTGAAGCCGCCAGTGACTGATTTTCACCCTTCTTGGCCACACCTCCTGCCACTCCGTGGCTCTGAGAGCGACTACAGGCATCGTGACTTGGCCAGCAAGGGAGAGAGGCGGTGGAGGGGACGTGAGCTCAGAGCCAGACTGGAAGGAGCATCGGATGTCCAAGGCTGGGTCTCAGTCTCAGCATATGGATTTTTGGTATCAGCTCAGGTTTCAAACTGGCTTTTCCACAGCACCTCCCTACCCAGCTCTCGGAAATGCTAAGGGGCTCAGGCCATGCATTAGAACAGCCAGCCTGCTGAGCAAGGAGCAGGTCCACATGAAAGTGCCTATAGTCTAGTGGCATCATGTGCTTATGTCATTCCCACGGCTGTCCATCCTAGGAGGGAACAGTGGGGACTCTGACCACGGACACTGAGCGTTGAGGAGGAAGATGGAGATAGCAAGAAAGAAGATATCTTGTGTGGAGTGTTAGCAAATGGGAAAGTCTTGAGACGAAGACCTTACCATTTTATCCAGCGTTTAGTCACTGAGTATTTCAGGAGCAGAACCAGGCAGCTGCCAAAGCCATGAAAATCCTCCAGGTGAGGAAGGGAACTTCTGAGCGATCATCACTGGACACTAGCGCACTCTCGGGGCAGCTGGCCACGGGGGTGGGAATAGGGAGAATGCAAAGAACTTCTTCACTGAGCACTGATGCTCTGGGAAGTGGGGTAGATGCTTAGTTGTCCCTCAGCATCCTAGGGGATCAGTTCCAGGACCCTGTGTGGATACCAAAATCTGAGAATGCTCACACTACTTATATAAAATGATACAATCTTTGCATATAAAAAATATGCCCTCTTGTGTACTTTAAAGCCTCCCTGTAGATCACTTATAATACTTAACATAAAGTAAATGCCATGTAGATAACTATTACACTGTATTGTTTAGGGAAAAATAACAAGAAAAAACTCTGTCCATTTTTTAGTACAGATGCAATCATCATAGGTCTGACTATAGTTTTGATCTGTGGTTTGTTTTTTGGTGTTTTGTTTTGTTTGTCTTTTGACACAAGGTCTTGCTATGTAGTTCAGGCTGGTCTTGAGCTCACTATGTAGCCCAGGCTGGCCTTGAACTTTCAGTGATCCTCCTGCCTCAGCCTCCCAACTGCTAGGATTACAGTTGCACTACCACACCTGACAATCTGTGGTTTATTGAATCCATGGATATCAAACCCAGATAGACAGGACTACACAGCTATTTTCCTAATTACAACTACATTCAGTTAAAAACTACTTGTCATTATAAAAATAGTTGGATGTGGTACCACACATCTGTAATCCCAGCACTGTGGGAGGCCAAGGCAGGGGGATTACAAGTTCAAGCCCAACCTTGGCAATTTAGTGAAACCTTGTCTTAAGGTTTAATTTAAAAATTTAAAAATTTAAAAAATGAAAAGGGGCTGGGGATGTAACTTAGTGTGAAGGTACTGGACTCAATCCTCAGTACTGACCAAGAAAAAAATATGCTCTGAGAGGTGGAGAAAAGGCAAACTGATTGGGGATCTTGGAACCCAAGTGATGAATCCCCTAGTTCTTTTTGTGTCTTGTACCCAGACTAGATACTGGACAAGCTGACCACTAGACAAGAAACGTTCCACCAAAACTTTGCTTTTTTTAGCTAAAGAATCAAGAGGGAGACATCTTAAAGAGATAGAACTGTTTCCCTTACTAATAGCTCTACTCCAGCCACCTGCCATGGGGGCAAGGGGAGGCGCAGCCTCATCCCCATACGTGTTGGCAAAGGCTAAGCAGGTTCCTAGACTTTCACTACGCCAGGCTGTGACAAAGAACCCTATGCCAGCTGGAGTGGCCCCAGAGAAGGCTGAGTGCGGAGTTGGGAGCTTCTCCCCAAATCCCCATCACCCTCCCTCCGTGTCGATGTGGACCAAGTGTGCTAATGAGGTGATCCTCCTCCTCCTCCTCCTCCTCCTCTTCCTCTTCCTCACTGGGGAGGGTGTTGTCAGAGGAGGCCTGGTAGAGTCAGAACTTTCATTACCACTCGGTGGTAATAAGACCCCTCCCCAAGGATCACTGGACACGCAAGGGAGGCAGTAATGAAGCATCCTTCCCCCTCCAGACAGGGTGGTGTCAGTGGATACCTGGTAGGGAGTCCTAGCTCCTGCCCTGGCCCTGCAAGAACAAGGAGCCCTTACAGCCCAGGTGTCAAGGGAGCCTGGGTGGAAAACCTGGATATACCTCCATGTGGAAGAAACGAGATAGTGTCATTATCGCATTGGAGCAGTGACAGGGATGGCTGCTTAAATGAGATCTAGACTCATGATAGGGAAAATGTCAGGATTCTATTTGTGACACTTAAGGTTAATTATCAACTTGATTGGCTTGGGAGCTGCTCAGGCGATTAGTAAAACACACTTTTGCATGTGTCTGGGTGGTCATGGAGGTGTGCCCTTGGGTATCCTATCTGGTCCCAGGCCCCTTCCTCTCCGATGTTGTTACTCTGCTTTGCTTCTTGAACACCGTGAGGTGAGCAGCATTCCTTCACCAAGCCCTTCTGCCATGATGTTTCTGCTTCAGAGCCAACCAACTATGGAGTGAATCTTCTGAAACTGTGAGCAAAAAATAAGCCCTTCTTCCTGGTTGGGGACCCCCGGCAATGGGAAAGCTGACACTCTGGAAAATTATTCATCATGATAAGAACTAGAAAGTATCAGACTGAGTAAGAAGATAGTCAACATATACAAACATCAAAATGACACAGCTGATAAAGATTTTAAAGCAGCCATCATTAAAAAAATTTTTCAATGAGTCATTACAAACATGTTCAAAACAAAGCCAGGTGTGGTGGCACATGCCTGTAATCCCAGAACTCAAGGGGATGAGGCAGGAGGATCTCCTTGAATTTGAGGCCAACCTGAGCTACAGAGTGACTTCAAGGCCAAACAAAAGAAAACAGCAAACATGCTTGAAACAAAAGAAAAAATAGAAATTTCAGCAAAGAAATAGAAAATATAAAGAACTGCATGGAAATTTTAGAATTGAAGATCCAATAGTTGAAATTAAAATGTTAATAGTTGTGCTCATCAGTAGAATGGTGTAGAAGAAAAAAAACCCAATAAAATAGAACATAGAGCCATAGAAATTAGCCATTCTGAACAACAGAGAAAATAGACTGAAAAATTAAATAGAGCCTTGAAGACATGTGTAACTATTTTTTTAAAAGGTCTAAACTTGTATAATTTGAGTCTCAGAAGATAAGGGAGAGGGCGAATCTCAAAAAAACATTCAAGGAAACAATGATTGTGAATTTCCTTGATACCACACTGCATATACATACACATGTGCAGGCACACACACACAACATAAATGCCATGTATCTACAGATTCAAGAAACTTAGTGAATCCTGAACAAGATAAGCTAAAAGAAATTAATATCAAGATAGATCATAATCAAAATTCTAAACACTATTAAAGGCAAAGAAAAAGTCTTGAAATAACCACATAGTAGAGGGAAAACCATCCAAATGACAGTGGATTCTTCATTAAAAAAAAAACTACATATAGAGTCCATGAAGAGGTGATACACTATTTTTTCAGGTGCTGAAAGAAAAGAACTATATCAACTGGAATCCTACCTTAGTGAAAATATTCTTCAGGAATGAAGGAAAAATGAAATATTCCCAGATAAAGGAAAACAAAGAGATTTTTGGTCTAACAGAAATTCATGCTGAAAGGAAAGCTAAATGGCATTCTCTAAACAGAAAGAAAACAATTTACAAAGGAATCTTGGACCATAAGGAAGGAGAAATATCAAACCTGTGTTAAATACAATAGAATTCTTCTCTTGGGTTTTCTAAATTATGTTTGACAGTCAAAGAAAAACTATAACACTGTCTTGTTCTTTTCTCAAAATTATAGGAAAATACTTGACATGTATATTATACATGAGAGCGAATAAAGGGAGGTAAGGTTTCTACATATCACTTGAACTTGTAAACTGGTGAAACCAATAGATTTTGAGAAGTTACGTATAATATAATAACCTAGAACAACCAATAAAAATGTTATATAAAGTGATATACTTGAAAACTAAAGAAAAATAAAAGTGGAACTCTAAAAAATCTGTTCAAGGAATCCACAGGGAAGTAGGAAAAAGAAAGCATAGAAATTAAGAATAGAGAGAACAAAGATTAAAAAAATTAGATGGCAGACATTTAATCCTTCGCATATAAGTAATCACATTAAATTTAAATGGTCTAGATCTAAATACAAAGTTTAAAGGACACAGATTGACAGAATACATAAGAAACATGACCCAACTATATTCTGTCAATAAGAAATAACTTCAAAGTAAAATAATTAAAATGATATACCATGCAAACAGTAGTCAAAGAAAAGTTGGAGTGGTTATATTAAAAACAGATAAAGTAGAGGGCTGGGGATTTAGCTCAGTGGTTTCACAGCCTGCTGTGCAAGCTCAAGGACCTATGTTTGATCCCCGGTACCAAAAAAAAAAAATT